TCAATAGTTATAATTAACTTCTAGGTATTATCATGTTAAATACATTGTCACATAATTAATTCAAAATGAACATAATAAGATACAAAAAAGCTGTTAAAACTTCTTTTGATATTGAAGGTGAATCAAGGTCACAGGTAATAAATTATACAAACCCCCTTGACTCAGTAAGCTACCAAATAAATATCATTACATTCACTCTAGGTTTCATGGTTCTGGTAGCAGAAGTAGAATTCAGTTTTCGAAGAATGAATACAGGTCAATTGACTCAAAATACATCATACTTGATAGCCATCTAACCCAACAAGCTACTTGATATGTATGTAGTAGGACGAGGAATAGTGATATAGATAGTGCCATCGCTGGGGCTCAAACCCGCAACCCTTGGCTCTCCTACCTGATGCTCTACGACTAAGCTAAAGGGAAATTCCCTACAGCCGACGCTTGTAAGGCAACCTAATCAATGCACTTCTTTTACATGTAACAGGATTCTTTAGTCTTATCTCTATCAAAGAAGTCTGGAATTTACGTAATTTTAGACATTTTTAACCATTTGACCCTAAAACCATAAAGTCATGTATTCAATTGAATTAAGCTTTTAGAGCTACTTGCACCATTAGCTTTCACAAGTTCAAAATGTTTGGCAGTTTCATTTTACCAACAACCGAAAAAAAAAAGAATTAGTATTACACATTACACTGTGGCAAAGTCTTGTTAAATATCATTTATATATTACAAACAGCAGAATAATTAGATATATTCACTTATGCCAGCAAACTCCTGAAAATATGGGAAACCCCTAAATATTGTCTATTTATCACCAATGGTATTGAATATATTCCATTATATGACTATCTTTGTGCTGCCTACCAACATGATGTTACTTAGGCAGCACAAAGACTGTCACATAACGGAACATTCACATGCATGGATGATATGAGTGAACATGAAGGTTACCTGTTTTTTCCAGTGTCATGAGGTGTTCTAAATAAACCACACTTGAACAGAGCATCCGGAGATGACCAGGCCTCCACAGGTGTGCCTCCCCAGCAAGTGTTGACAAGACCGACCGGATAGCCCAGCTTCTGGTACAGGTATTTACCATACAGCCAGCACACCGCGGAGAAGTAGCCCCAGTCTCTGTCAGTCCCACCAATAGAAGCTAAAAACATGCAGGATGAAGCATGTCCTTACATTTACTTTATCAGCAAGCAATGCAAATTTGACTTTCAAAGTGATGTTTTGTATTTTATATATACATGTTCTGACACTGTTAACAGGCCATTTATAAGATTATTAATGGTTAATTCTTCATTTATTTATAAATAATACATGTATTCAAAATTGGTTACATTTATATACTTGAATACTTAAAACAAATACTGAAACATAGCTGTCCAAGGTTTCCAGTTCCTGTTAGAATCTTAAATACATATACTAGTGACAGATGAGATCTGTCTTAGGTTCTTCTTGATAATAGATTCGAAAAATATGTATTCACTTTTACAATTAAAAGTAAATAACCAGAAGTGTCAGAACTGTTCCAGGCTGTTTCTGATAGTGAAATCTGACAATATCTTTGACTTTTACTGTGAGAAATGACGTTAGAACTGTTTCAGGCTGGTTCTGATAGTGAAATCTGACAATATCCGTGACTTTTACTGTGAGAAGTGATGTTATTACTGTTCCAGGCTGGTTCTGATAGTGAAATCTGACAATATCTTTGACTTTTACTGTGAGAAATGACGTTAGAACTGTTTCAGGCTGGTTCTGATAGTGAAATCTGACAATATCCGTGACTTTTACTGTGAGAAGTGATGTTATTACTGTTCCAGGCTGGTTCTGATAGTGAAATCTGACAATATCTTTGACTTTTACTGTGAGAAATGACGTTAGAACTGTTTCAGGCTGGTTCTGATAGTGAAATCTGACAATATCTTTGACTTTTACTGTGAGAAATGACATTAGAACTGTTTCAGGTTGGTTCTGATAGTGAAATCTGACAATATCTTTGACTTTTACTGTGAGAATTGTTTCTGATAGTGAAAAACAAGAAATCCAGTAGTGACTTTGTTACTTTATGAAGAAACAGATCAGATCTATATACTATTATTATGCTGTTTTTCATAGTTAACCCTTTCACCCCTATGTAACTTTAGTAGAATCTACCATGCATTGATCTGGATGAGTCCATTATGGTCTACAATGGTGAAAGGGTTAAGTCTGACAGCCAGTCTTGTTGATGTAAGAAGGAACAGACCAGTATGTTTTAAGGCCTTTTTTGTCAGGCAGCTAGATGGGAAATAGCTATATAGAGACTTGAATTATTTGATGCTGATTTTGATGTTGAAATATAATGATATAACCTACTGCTGACTTACTATTTGAAGCAACAGACCAGTACTGTTTAATGCTGTTTTTGATAGTAAAGTCAGACAATGGTGTACTTGACCCAGCTCTCTGATTGACCGTGAACACTCGGATATTTGGAAAGTTGTCTGCATCTTGTATCTCCTCACTGGCATTGTTTCCCTGAAATCAAATATATATTGTATGATTAAATACCTGATACTATGGAAACACTAGTACTTATACAATGTAATGAATTTGAAAGAACCTAAGAAATAATTTTGCATGTCAAAATTTGTCACAAAGATTGATGATTGTGAGATTATGAATTTCTTGGGGACATATATTCACTTACTTAGTTATTTGATGATCTGCCTGTGTGTATCGTTTTATCATCTAACTTCTGATTTGCTGAGACCCAACAATTTTATCAGAGTATGAAATAATATGCTATAATTACTGCCAAAATCCTCTTATTACCGAATTCTAAAGAGAGAAATTTGAGAAAAATCCTATTTAATTGTAAATCATCAATATCATAATATTCCTTCAATTTCTATCAAAATTATGTTTCCATACCATTCTGACTGTGAACTCCATGTTTGACTGCCCAGAACAGACCCACACATCTCCAAATAGGACATCAGTTAGAGTAATTTCCCCTGCTAACCCATGGGCTGTGATATTGTAGGGCCCTGGACCCTCAACAGGGTCAAGGATCACACTCCAGACCCCTTGTGTATTGACCAGGCCATACTGGGTACTGTTTCCCACAGTCACTCCCACATAGACGTAGGTAAAGGGATGGTAACCCCACACCACGGCCTGCTTGGGTGCACGCTGCAGGACCATATGGTCTCCATAGTATGCTGCAAACTTGAAGTTTTTATTGGAATGTTGTATATCTGTAGGACCTGAAATTTTAAGATTGTACATGGTGATAATTACTATGAATATGCATTAAGTCATTTCTGATTAGTATATTTTGCATTAAATCTTTTTCTTCAATGCATGTTAAACAGAATTACAAATCAGACTGTAAAAGTGTCAAGATACCAGGGGTTCATACTCGATATCCGATAGCCGATTGATTGGTCTTGGGTAAAAAACACCTGACCAATCGCTGAGCTGATACCTGTTCTTTCAATTTTTACCGTTATGTGACCGCAAGATTCTTTTGATGTAGATCAATGGATCGAACTAGTCTTCTTGTCTCACAACAAGGTGGCGCACACTGAGCCTTCAACTTTGCTATGACATATTCCAGGGTGCAGAGAGCGAAAGTGAGCGTAACCCCTGGATATCGAGGATGCCAGGGGTTTGACTCTCCAGTATGAGAACATAGACAGTACATTGATTATCATGGGTGACTGGGAGTTTTGCTTGGCGATATTCAGTAGTAAAATGTAAAACATGCACAGACATATATATATATATGTAACCTATTTCAATAAAAAGGTAATAATTCCTGACATAGATCTTATTGTATCCTTAAGTTTGTTAAAAAAGAAGCAGCCATGTTTTTGTACTCATATTGACAGAAAATTGTTGAAATTATTTATGACTGTCAAACTTAGACAAACTACTAATGGAAACATAAATCTAGCTAGCAAATGAAAACTATATTTTTTAAGAAAAATTCTTAGAAACATTTTTCAACAAATTTCACCTGCCAAAAGTACCCATCATATGTTTCTGTGCAGCAATTTTGATTCAGTTTTCAAAGAAATACAACTCAAACACACTAAAATTGAAATTCTCAAGTTAGTTGCCCATGCACACAGATGCTCCACTTACTGGTTATTTCAATATTGTGTTCCTTTATTGTCAAATTAATTTATCATAAGAACTTTATATAAATTGCACATAGCAGATTTTCAATATATCATTCAACTTATAAAACTAAGATAATTTAATAAATATAACATATTTATAATAGAATCCATTTTTAATTTATTGCTACATCAGTTTTGTTAGCTCACCTGGTCTGAAGGACCATGGTGAGCTTTATTATGCCATACCGCAGCGTCCGTCAACCTTTCCTTTAAAACACTACTAGTCCTGAATGGCCAAGTAGATTTTGACTAAATTTGGTCTGGAGCATCCTTAGGTCAAGGGGACTCAATTTTGTATAAATGGTGGGTGTGGCCCCCCCCCTGGGGGCAGAGGGGCGGGGCCAAATAGGGGAAATAGAGATAAAACCTTTAAAATCCTTCTTCTACTGTAGGGATTAAGGGATTCTATCCTAATTTAGTCTTGAACATCCTTAGGCCAAGGGGACTCAATTTGTATAAACGGTGGGTGTGGCTCCCCTGGAGGCAAAGGGGTGGAAACAAATAGGGGAAAAGAGGTAAAACCTTTAAAATCCTTCTTCTACCATAGGGATGAAGGGATTTTATCCTAATTTAGTCTGGAGCATTCTTGGGCCAAGGGGACTCAATTTTGTATAAACGGTGGGTGTGGCCACCATTGGGGCAGAGGGGCAGGACCAAATAGGGGAAATAGAGGTAAAACCTTTAAAATCTTTCTTCTACAGAAGGGATTAAGGGATTTTATCCTAATTTAGTCTGGAGCATCTTGGGCCAAGGGGACTCAATTTTTTTATAAACGATGGGTGTGGCCACTCTTGGGGCAGAGGGGCGGGGCCAAATAGGGGAAATAGAGGTAAAACCTTTAAAATCCTTCTTCTACCATAGGGATTAAGGGATTTTATCATAATTTAGTCTGGAACATTCTTGGGCCAAGGTGTTAAATTTTGTATAAACAGTGGAAGTGGACCCCCTTGGGCAGAGGGGCGGGGCCCAATAGGGGAAATGGAGGTAAAAGCTTAAAAATCCTTCTTCTACCATAGGGATTAAAGGACTTCATCCCAATAGGTCTGGAGCATCCTTGGGCAAAAAGGACCCAATCTTGTATAAACATTGAGTGATGCCCCCACTTTGAGCAAAGGGGCTGGGCCCAATATACTGGGGAAACATAGCAAATTCATCAAAATCCTTCTCCTGTAGGAATGACAGGATTTTGTCCAAATTTGGTATGAAGCACCCTTCGGTGAAGATGAACCAATATTGTAGAAAAGGTGGGCCTCACCCCCTGGGGGCAGAGAGACGGCCCCAATAAGGGATATAGAGGGATAGCTTTAATATCCTTTTCTTCCATTGGGATGAAGGTATTTTGACCAAATTTGAACAGTCTACGCAATTATCCTATTGGGAAGGTAAATCGACTTTGTATAAATGGTGGGTCTGCCCCCCCCCCCCCCCCCCCCCCCCCCTGAGGCCTGATGGGTGGGGCCAAAAAGGGGTAATTTAGCAAATTCTTTAAAAATCTTTTTACTTCTGTAGGAGGATTATGTCCATATTTGGTCTAAAGCATCCTTCGGTGACCCCCCCCCCCCCCCGGGAACTAATTTTGTATCAACGGTGGGTGTGACCCCTCTGGGGGCAGAGGGGGCTGGGCCCAAAAATTGGAAACATAGCAAACTCTTCAAATTCCTTCTTTTTCTGTAGAAATGACAGGATTTTGTCCAATTGCATATAAATATAACCCCTGACTAACCATGTAATACATGTCAGCAACATCTTGCTAATTTAACTTCAATTTTGCTAACATATTATTGTTGATTGCATTAAATATCACATAATGAACATAATTTTCATGTTCTTTTTGGTTTTTTTATCAATTTATCAATGGGAATGTAAAACAGATAGGCCTACACCATTTTTTGTTTCTGAGTCTATACGTATACACTGAAACGAAAATTGTCCGGATTAAGGGCGACAACCCTTACATTTGTACAATAAACACAATGCAAAATGTAAAACTGTTACATCCAAATATGTGTTTACATATGATCCATGCATAAAACATAATTAAATGGTAATACGTGAAGGAAAACACTACAGTGAGGCCGGAACGACTTTGGGGCCGGAACTACTAATGATGGACCGGGAGAGGCAGGAACGACTTGATTCGATCGATTCTTTCAAAGCGGCTGTTAGTGTTATAGCGCCCATCCAGCTTCCCGAGAGCAAGCCATCCCTGTTCTAAACATAACTTCATACATATTTTATCTTTTAACCTGAAACGCAACTGTCTACAAATTAATTACAATATAGCAATGTATCACTACCACTTTCTTTTAATTTACTACACCGATTTTAACAACCTGCAATGACGCGCACACAGAGATCTACTGTGTAGTACTTGAAAGAGTGCGTTGCAGTATTCACAGATATAATAGATAGACTCACCAATGGCGATATCTGGCATGCTCATTTCCATGACATCTTGACGATTTGCATCGGCAATGCAAAGCACAAACAAAGCGAAGAATAAGTGCATCATACCAGCGGAATTCTCCCCGGTAACGAATCGATCACGGAATCACGAGACCGATGTTATTGTTTCATTTTGTTTACCTGCAAATTAAGCATTTTAGCGACTTGGATTTTCCGGCCTTGGTCCGCTTTCATTATCGCGATCAAAACGATTGAATCGGTTCGACCAGAGTTGTATACTAATGTCAGATCAAGTAATCTGATACTGTTTTCAGGCGAGCCTTGCAACACCTGCATACACTTTTGCATGTCCTCCTGGATTTATACCCAAAAATGTTACATATAAAAACAGTCGAATAAACGAACAAGCCATTGTTTTTTTTTCTAACGCACGTCCAGAACATTGCAGATTTTAAACAGAACGGGTCCATGAAAACACAAATGAAAATGTGGCAAGAAATGTTATTTTTCCTGAACTTATATGTGGTGCCATTCACATTTTGTATATACCTGAAAATGTTGTTCGACGATTTACATGCAGGAACGGGCAGAAACGGCAGAAATAAATAAATTATTTATATTATATATATTTAATTAACATTATCGGGTATAAGATATATTTGATAAAAGGATTGCAGTTACATGATCGTTGCAGAATATAAAGTATATACATTTATGTCGTTATTACTTATGAGACCTAAATTTATAGTATTATATAATTTTTATCGATTTACAGGAACGGACAGAAACGGGCGACGATTTACAGGAACGGACAGGATCGGGGCAGGATCGAACTATTTTATGGTTGAATAATGATGTTAGGTTGCCTTATGTTTTTATTTCAACAAAGCTTTATTTTCATGTTTAACTTATTTGAAAGCCATCTGCTACGATGATACATTGCGTATACTTTGGTTTTAATATAACAAGGTGTTAATAAAGTATCACCGCATTGCCCAGGTCTCGGGATCGTGGACCCTGCTTTCATGGAGACCAATTTTAATTTCTTTTTCTTAAAAATAGATGTACTATTGAGATTTTTTTTAAACGCCTATTGTGTTTCCTTAATTAATGAAAATCTGTAGGTTTCAATTTTAAAATAATATATTAATGTATTAGCATGAAATAAATCAGACTTTCATTTACATAAAATAAAACGTATTATTGCCTTTTATTCGTTTTGTTTCTATAAGAGTTGATTCGAGAAAACGCGATTTTTTTTAGAATGTTTGACATCTTTGACATGAATTGTTCAGAGGGAGTATCAAAATATAGTATCATGAAGAGTTTTCTGACAAGATTATAAAACAAAACTCACTTAAATTTTCCCATATATATACTATCATTTTCATTACAATTTTAATATATATGATGCATCATTTATTTAGCAAATTTCATCTGACTACCTCTTTAATATTGTTAAAAGACCATTGGAAATATTAAATTAATGAAATGGAACAAAACAAATCCCGGGAAATGGTGCAGCAGGACAGCATAGATATCCGATTATTTATAAACATCGAAATTGAAAAATTGACATTGTCATATATTAACACACGATTGTAAAATAAACTGACTTCACTAAATTGTACCATATGTACCATCATTTCATAACAATTTTGACATATATGATGCATCATTTATTTAGCAAATTTCATCTGACTACCTCTTTAATATTGTTAAAATACCGTTGAAAATATTAAATTAATGAAATGGGAAAAAAGAATCAACGAACATTGTAATATATTAACACACACAAAAACAGCATGTTAACACTGTGTGTACATCACATGTGTATAGGTCTAGTGAGTGTGATGGGGGTGGGGCACAGAGGTGGAGACACAAGACCTCCTGGAATCTCAGTATGCACCAATAATTGGGAGGGTCAGTAGTAACCTACCCTGGTACAGCCTCCCTGGGTTCCTTGGACCATATATGTTGTATGTGCTGGTGTGTACGTATTCAGCAGCAAGCCCTGCCAGCGTGTTACTGGTGCCACAAAGAAAATGTCGTGGTGCTCTGCTGACCGAATCCATTTTCTGTGTAAGGGTCTCTGTGGTGATGGTTGTCGTTGTCAATTTGTCAGTCATTCTTTACTCTCTAATGGTCGTCGTTCTCTGTTATTTTCCGTTTCCTTTGTCCCGGTTTTTTACCTAACGTCCGAGGTCCACGAACAATTGTTTGTCCGTCAGTTGACGTCACCTGTAATTTGTCCTTGTGTACGTATCGACTGAATCGGCTGTAATGTTTGTTACGCTCCTCTGCAGTTTTTTTAACCCACACATTTCCGTTTATTTGGAATTGAGCGTGGGTGGGTGCGAGTCTGAATGTACTGAACTGTCACTACGTCATGTATTGAATTTACAAACTCATTAAGTGTCTTTTTTCAATTCAAGTTTATTCCGGGGGCCTTACGACCCATAAGTTTACATAAATACAATACATGATATTACATACATATTTGGAGAGTGATCTCTCATGACAGACATACAGAACACAGAAAGTAAGATCAACATACTGACATACTAGGAGGTACACTCTGTAACTCCGCGGCAATGTTACCTTGATTGCGATTACATAAACTTACTACGCCAGTCAACTGTCTGTTTCAACACGTGGTTTACACTTTCACAACTGTTGTTCGTCCATTTGTGGTTAATCAATCCTAATCTCTCAGGTTCGTTGACCTTTGTTCGTAATAGGCCCTTCAACCTTTTGTTAAAGTAGGTCAAGAAGTTTGGAGCTGTCGATTGATATATTGTTTAGAACTCGTCGAAACATATGGTGTCGTCACTGTCAAGTACACCGTTGTCATCAAAGGGTTTGTCAACAAGTTTGTTCTTGTCGTGTTTGTCTATTTTGTCATTTGTCAGTTTGTCTATTTTGTCATTTGTCAGTTTGTCTATTTTATCATTTGTCAGTTTGTCAATATTATTTTGTTTCAAATGTCTTGTACGTAGTAAATGAGTCGATTGTGAAAACGTGTCTTTGATAGCGTTCACCATGGACCGTTCGTCTCCTCATTCTGTCCCTATAACAAGCTTGCACTCATCAGTTTCGTCTTCAGATGAGAGAGAAAAAAAGCTGCTGTAACTCTCGTAATCACTGCTGTCATGTACATACATATATAGGTCCTATACATAATGGTGCGTCAATTGTGTTCCGGTCTTGTCACATTCAACTGCGGTTTGAAACAGGAAGCAGTCACATGCATATCGCACAGATTGAAGGTCTTATCAAACTCTAAATTATAGCTGTCTGTCCGGTACAACAAAGATTTCTAATGTCTGTCATTTGTTCGTCCGTATCTAGTATGACACATGTCGCTTTTCCAGAAGATTGTATGACTGTCCTGACAAAGGGATGGTTGTCTTTTACAAGATTCTGCAGGTTAACTATATTGTCAGCAACGTTCGTTCGTCCATATGTCTGTCCTGTCTGTCTCTTATTTGCTGTCGTCTTTTTGCGTCTCTAAATTAACCTGCCTAACAGACGTCGGAGCTGTCAATTCGTCGTGGGTGTTGACTAGCTTGTCATATATTTTCTTGGGTTTTGTGTCATGTGCTACCATATTATTATTTTCGTCCATAACAGTCGTTGGCGTTCTAACATAACTTTTTGAGATTGTTTTGCTGTTACCGTGGGGTGCTAGTCCTGGATGGTGATCACAGTACTCAACAACAGCTAACTGTTGGCTACTATTCATCCTTTCCCCCGTACGTAAAGCCCCTGTCACACCTAGCCGCGTTGCCACTGCGATTGCACGACGTTGTTAAATTTCCCAGAGCGCCGCGAGATCACAGGAAAAACTGATCTTTTTCATGAAGATGGCAATGCCACGGCGTTTTCACGGCGACCTTAGCGTTTCTACGGAGCTCCATGGCGTTCTACCGCGTTCCTACGGAGTTCTAGTTGGCGATTGTCTGCGCTCTCATGGCGCTTCCACTGCATGCATCGAGTTATCACGGCGCGTATAAGCGCGTTAGAGACGCAGGGTCATCTCAGAGAACGCCGTACGATCGCCGTCCAAGCGCCACCGATAACCATTGTATTCGCACTGCGACCTATGTGCGCGCCCGCGGCGATCATGTGGCGTTGTAGGAGACCTAACTGCGCTGCTACGGTGACCTCACGGCGATCCCACAGCGCTCTTATCAGAACGCCGAAAGACGGCGTTTGTTTTGGGCATGTTCAAAGTGCGCGCCGTCGCTCGGCGTTCTATGCGATCCCACCACATTCACTGGCGATGCCACTGCGTTGCCACGGCGATGCTTGCGATTCCACTGCGCGCAGATCGGCGTTCTGGATTTTTCTTGGACGCCGTGGGAATGCGGCCCTAGTGTGACAGGGGTTTAACCAAGTCACGCGTTTTTTGCACGTACTGTCAGATTTTAGTGTCCTGTATTGTCGCTCCACTTCGATTAAGTCGTTAGGTACAGGCTGTGGATTAAGTGGAATATACTCCCTTTTTTCTGTACTATTGTCTCTTTGCAGTACGACCTCTATCCGTTAATCGTTTTTGTACAGATTTTCTTAAGGTCATGTCCGTTGTTGGTTATAAGGTAAGTCGCTTTGGGAGAACTTCCTGAATTTGAAGCCCACACCCCGCAGTCGTCCGAAAATACTGTTGTCATGTGTTTTGTCCGTCTGTTTGTTTTGCTGTTCAATAAAAAATAGATATTAGTCTTTGTTCCCATAGGCACACTATCTAAATAATCTGTTGATGTCAGCAGTATATTTACAACTGTGGGAGTATCCAGGAAAGTACCGTCATCTAACTTACCACTCTTGTCATCGTCTTTAGTATCTGTGCTATCTACTGTGGGAATGTCCAGCAAAGAACTGTCATCTAACTTGCCTATCATGTCACCAAGAGACGTTTGATCTTTAGTGTCTGTGCTATCTTACTGTGGGAATGTCCAGCAAAGAACTGTCATCTAACTTGCCTATCATGTCACCAAGAGACGTTTTATCTTTAGTGTCTGTGGTATCTACTGTGGGAATGTCCAGCAAAGAACTGTCATCTAACTTGCCTATCATGTCGCCAAGAAACGTTTTATCTTTAGTGTCTGTGCTATCTACTGTGGGAATGTCCAGCAAAGAACTGTCATCTTACTTGCCTATCATGTCGCCAAGAAACGTTTTATCTTTAGTGTCTGTGCTATCTACTGTGGGAATGTCCAGCAAAGAACTGTCATCTTACTTGCCTATCATGTCGCCAAGAAACGTTTTATCTTTAGTGTCTGTGCTATCTACTGTGGGAATGTCCAGCAAAGAACTGTCATCTTACTTGCCTATCATGTCGCCAAGAAACGTTTTATCTTTAGTGTCTGTGCTATCTACTGTGGGAATGTCCAGCAAAGAACTGTCATCTTACTTGCCTATCATGTCGCCAAGAAACGTTTTATCTTTAGTGTCTGTGCTATCTACTGTGGGAATGTCCAGCAAAGAACTGTCATCTTACTTGCCTATCATGTCACCAAGAAACGTTTTATCTTTAGTGTCTGTGCTATCTACTGTGGGAATGTCCAGCAAAGAACTGTCATCTTACTTGCCTATCATGTCGCCAAGAAACGTTTTATCTTTAGTGTCTGTGCTATCTTGCTGTGGGATGTCCAGCAAAGAACTGTCATCTAACTTGCCCATCATGTCTTCAAGAGACTTTTATCTTTAGTGTCTGTGCAATATTACTGTGGGAATGTCCAGCAAAGCACTGTCATCTAACTTGCCTATCATGTCACCAGGAGACGTTTCGTCCTGAGTGGGAGTACTACATGCAATAGGGGACATGTCGTCCATGGTGGGAGAGCTCGGTTCCACCTTCACACATTAGGACGGTGAGGGTAGAGGGGGGAGTCTAATTCACTATCAATATCCATAACTGAGTTGGCATCACGTTTCATTAGTGGTACGAAATGATTCGGAGTCCAGAAACCTTTGGCGCGTGTCTGAATACTGGGAATAATTCATTTTCTGGAATATGTTTTGCTCCGCAAACATTGAAACACGATTGACCTACCTGTTGCTGTTGCAGCTGCATGCATGGTCCATGCTGAACAATACGGCCTATTTCTTGCACTGTCTCTTACAGCTTCATTAAGCAAAGGACTAACAATACTAAGCCTATCATGCAGATGATCATTCTGGTAAACTTTTTCATTTTGAACAATCTCGATACAAGTTCTTACCCGGATTTCAGTTGCTAAAAGCTCGTTTCCCTGAATGGCCATTGAAAAAGAATTGAACAAACAGTTTCCATCCCCTCAAACTACAACAGGAGTTATATTTGAACTGTCCCCTAGCAACTTAGAGGCTGACTGATCTACCAGCATAGTCTCATTGAAGTTGCATTTGCTTGCTATCTTAAACTTGTCTTGCGACCTCATGAAAAATTGCTCAAGAGCCTTCGTTTCGACTAAGTGTCCAGCAGCAGCAGCCTTGCCTAATCTATCTAGAGCTGCACGGACATTGTAAGATTTATCCTTGTTACAAAAGCATTTCAAACAAATGTAGGAAAGTGGAGACTTCCGTAGAAATCTGAATTTTCACATTTATAATCAAACCATTTGTCACAAATGTCACATCCTACAGTCCTTCCCCCCTCACAGTTTTCTTTGCTAACACCACATGGGTATTTGTTATAAAAGCACTAGATTGTCACATACCAACTTATTGTACGGGTAGGCGATCGATAAACCCATTAACCAAATGCAACCAACTACACGATTCTCTCGTACGTTAGAAAGACTTCGAAAAAGACTGAGTCAGTAATGAAATATGACCTAGTTTTTCAGGTTACATATATTGGTTCATTTAAATTTTGAGCAGAATTAAAAGTCCTGTTTTCCGGGCGAATTTCAGAAAATATTTTGCCAGTTTACAGACAGTCACAATGTACAAACGTCTTAGATATCTAGATCTCGTGTAGTGTCAAATAGGTCACCAAGTCACGTAATACATCTTGGTGAAATGACGGCGCGGAAATATATAACGCGCGGAAAGCTATGGCACTAGGGCTAGAGTTTCAATATCTAATGCTTCTTCAGCATTTTTCGTCTTCACGTAAAGTACTCACCGACACATAATATATCTGTCATAACCAGTTATTGACGATTTTATCGGCAGTCATATAGTCATGTCCACAACATTCTCTGGTATATTCCCTAATGATATACAAAATGTTAATGGTACCAAATATAAGTTCAGCAAAATTAACATTTCTTGCCACATTTTCATTTGTTTCTTTCGGGGATCCGTTCTGTTTACAATCTGCAAGGTGCGTTAGAAAAAAACAATGGCCTGTTCGTTTATGCGGCACAACCGATTCGTCTGTTTTAAAATGTAACATTTTTGGGTATAAATCCTAGAAGACATGGAAAAGTGTTATGCAGGCGTTTCAAGGCTCGCCCTGAAAACAGCATCAGATAACTAGATCTGACATTATTATTTAAACAACTCTTGCCAATTATTAACTGATTCAATCGTTTTGATAGCGATAATGAAAGCGGACCAAGGCCGGAAAATCCAAGTCGCTGAAATGCTTATTTTGGCAGGTAAATAAAACGAAACGATCGACTCGTGACCGGGAATAGAAGCTGCTGGTATGATGCACTTAGGCCTACTCTTCGCTTTGTTTTTTCTTTGCATTGCCGATGCAAATAGGCAAGATGTCATGGAAATGAACATGCCATATATCGCCATTGGTAAGTCTATCTATTCTTTCTTCCGTAATCGTCGGTATCGACGGAGGAAGTCAATCAGATGAAGATGAAGATCTATGAATATCTATGGTAGGTAAATATTGTACGCCGTTCCCGGCCCCGATTTATTCTCGTCATAAGACACTTCGGCCCGGCACTTTCTCGACCTAGACACCTCGGCCCTACATATATATTGTGAATTGAAGTGTGGCAGGGTTCAATTGTACATAGGATTAAGGTCGCCTTCTAGCTTCGAGCTAGGGGGAATTTCCCTTTAGTTCAGTGGTAGAGCGTCCGACTAGGAACCTGGAGATCTAGGGTTCGATCCCCGGTGGAACCACACTATTCTCTTTCCTGTTACAAATGGTGTCCGTGGCCCTCCCTGTTGTGACAGGGAGTTGACAGGGAGTTAGAACCTGGGTTCGATCCCCAGTGGAAGCACTAAGTTTTCTTTCCTGTTACAGAAGCAATGTTTATATAACACAAATATCGTCTAGTCATCAGTTTCCGCGCATTATATATTTCCGCGCAGCCGTTTTATCAAGCTATATCTCGTAACTATGTGACGTGCTGGACACAACATAAGGATATTTTAGACGTTTGACCATCGTCTGGAAAATGACACAAAAATTACCGTAAGTTTGTCCGGAAAACATAAGAAATAATCACCGATTAACAAAATATGAATAAAATTGCAGATTTGCTTAATGCACTTTTTATCTTGCTCAAAATGTACCCATACCTGAAAAAACGATGATATATTTCATTCATGAACCAGTCTTTTTTGTAGTCTGGCAAACGTACAAAAATGTTGTATGCAAATGAGGCCACGTAACATCTCCTCAGCGATTTTTTTCCACTTCCGAAGAGCCAAGGAGACATTCTTGCAATGAACTTCCAATATTCACCAATTTTAAACAGAACAAAATGAGAAATAACTTACCATCAACCAAAACCGATATAAAACTACAGAAAAAAAATAATAACAGATTCTATATTATAACTAAATAAATATATTAAATGAATTGATAAAATTACATGAATTCGTTCAATTTGACATCTTGAAAAATCAATTAAAAATGTGAAATAAAAAAAAAAAGTTTTGATAATTAATTTGACTATCAAAGATATATTTTTTATTACAAAGGAAGCTTTTGTTGAAGAGAATTTCTTTTTAGTGTTCTTGAGTTATCTTTCTTTGAACAATAAATCAAAATAGTTGCACGGAACCATATGACGGCTACTTCCGATGGGAGAAATTTGTTAAAAATTGTTTGTTCTGATTTTTTAGCTCACCTGACCCGTCCGTCAACTTTTTCTTTTGAACGACTTCTTCTGAAGAACTGTAGAACCTAGGGTCATGATATTTGGTCAGTAGGTACCTGGGATGGAGTGCTATAAAGTTTCCTCATATCCTCGGTCAAATATGTTAAAAATTTCAAACAACAATATCCTAAGAACCATTTGAACTAGAGTCATGATACTTGGGTATGTTATGTAGACCAGCAGTGCAAATATTTTTCTCAATTACAGTAATGAGGTCAAAGGACAACTTTATATGCTAGTCGGGGGTCAAATGTCAACTATGGTTAAAAGCTTTAACAATCTTCTTCTCAAGTTCCATAAGGCCCAGGGTCATGATATTTGGCCAGTAGGTACCTGGGATGTAGTGCTAAAAATTTCCTCATTAAAATTACCTTGACCTACTTTCAAGGTCACAGGGGTCAAATATGTTAAAAACTTCAAACAACAATATCCTAAGAACCATTTGGACTAGTCATGATACTTAGGTATGTTATGTAGACCAGCTGTGTTAATTGTTTTCTTCATTACAGTAATAAGGTCAAAGGTCAACTTTTAGTGCAAATCGGGATTCAAAGGTCAATATGGGTTAAAAGCTTTAAAATTAAAAATTTAAGTTTCAAACAACAATATCTTCAGAACCGTTTAAGAGATGTTAAAATGTCTTGTGTTCTAGTTACCAAATTTGGTCTTAAGTTATGTCAGTTGCATGTAACAAAAGAAACAGGTGAGCAATACGCCGATACAGGCCCTCTGGGCCTCTTGTTTAAAATACAGTTTTATGTTGCTAGTTTTTTGTTTCCATTAGTAGATTGTATACATGTTTATGACAGTCATCTGTAATTTCAACAGTTTTCTGCCGATATGAGTACGAAATCGCGGATGTTTCTTAAGTGCGCAGAAACCGGTAACCCGAGGATATTACATATATGTTGCATATACATTTTGGACGCTGGCATGATATACCAGACATTTTTTGGTTAAATTAAAGGAGATAATTTGCATGAACAATTTTTTTTCTAGTATTCTAACCATACTTCGGCCTATATTTACATGTACGTACACAATATAGTTTTATCCAATAGTATATGAGCGCCGACAAGATGTGCCCATATGATATCATAAATATGATTTCGTGAGATACTTAAGGTCCGTTCTTTGACTGCATCCATACGTACCGACTTAAGTATTAAATGAAACCATACTAACCTATTATTAAATCACTTACCAGGAGTACAGATGCGATGCTGCCAACCACGACAACCGTGGCACTGTAACGATTCCTGGCGAAGTCGAACACTGACAGTTACTGTTACTAATCAATTTAAAGCTAAAGCAAATCACTGATTGGCTAATCCACTTCCGGCCAGTACGGTAATTGAGATACTCGGAGGTACTCGGAGATTCTCTGAGGTACTCAATTAAAACAACAAATCTGCAAGCCCCACCCCTCTTACTGCTTTGATTACAGTTTTTATGGTTATCAGCTTGTTAATTAATTAATTATTTGAATTAATTTCATGTAAATGTTAATAATAATTTGCAAATATTTGAGAGGAGAGACATAAGAAAAAACAACACGTATTTTGTATTAAAAAATTCAGTATTAAAACATCTATCTCATTAACGCGATGTTTTTTTTTGTTTTTTTTTTAAATTATGCTATAATTTCAAACATTATTTTCTAAATGTGACATTTACAAATTTTTTAAATCATCTGATAATTAAGAAATCAACAATAATGCATATTTCAAGGGGGTAAACTTGTAGGCCGCAGTCAATCGTAAAAATTACTGATTTTTACAAAATCACTTTCGTTCTCTGCACCCCTGGAATATGTCATAGCAAAATTGAAGGCACGAAGAAAGCTGTTTTATTGGTCTCAGGTAAAAAAAACTGACCAATCGCTGGACTGATACCTGTATAACAAAGGAGAGACACCCGACTTCAAAGCCGGTCAATTATTACCATTTCGTGACCACGAAATTCTTTTGATGTACATCAAAGGATCAAACTAGTCTTCTTGTCTCATCTTCAAAGTGCTGCACACTGAGCCTTCAATTTTGCTATGACATATTCCAGAGGTGCAGAGAGCGAAAGTGAGCGTAGCCCCTGGAAACTGAGGATTTCCCTATAGCTATGCATATTGAATTTTGGGACTGATCCGAAATCAAGATGGCCACCAGGCAGCCATCATGAATTTGTGACTTATAAAAGCTTGCTAGCATTATTTCTAAAAAGTGCCAGAGGGATCCTTCCTAAATTTCACATGAAGGTTTCTCATTGTCTTTAGTTATGCAGATCAAATTTTCGGACTGTTCACAAACAAGATGGCAGCAGGCAGCCATCTTAAATTTGAAGGTTAAAGTTTGTTGGCACTGTTTCTCAGAGAGTACTGGAGGCATCTTTCGCAAATTTGATATGTATAGTTCCCCTTAGTCCTTAGTGGTACATGCTTGTTTTAAGACTGATCAGAGGAACAAGATGTCTGTCAGGCAAACAAATCAAACAGAAAAGAGAAAAGAAGAGAAAAGATCGAATTGACATAGAACTAATAAAGATGGTACAATGGTGGGCACCAAGATCCCTCTGGGATCTCTTGTTTTAGTTAGAATGTAATAGTTTTGTATTTGATTGGATTTCGAAGGAAACCTTTTATCTGTTAAGTGTTTCCTATAACCACAAATATCTGACAGAAATCATTAGTAATACAAACAAAGACTGTTCCCACTGAATTTTAGATGAGTCGCCACCATTGGAGCTGCCCAAGCACTTTTCCTTTGCTGCCTACTATGGGGATCACATGGTTCTTCAGAAAGCCCCCAAGCACGCTGTCATATGGGGCTACAACCCATATACAAATGTCTTCATAGATGTTTCTGTGGACAAACAGACTATCCAAGCTTTCGTGGATACAAGGGGAATGTGGAGAGCGATTCTTGACCCTATTGAAGGGCCAGGGCCTTATACCATCACAGCTCGGGGGTCAGCAGGGGAGATTACTCTTACAGATGTCCTGTTTGGGGATGTTTGGCTCTGCTCTGGGCAGTCAAATATGCAGTTTTCAGTCAGTCAGGTAAAAGCAACTTACAGTGATTTGATCTTACAAAGAAATGAAAGAAAACCTGCATTAAAATTTGTTCCAATTTTTTTTGTCTTCATGCATTTGATTTATTTCAGGATAGCATCAGATGGAGGAAATTACAAGTGGAACAAACTGTATTTACCCTGACATTCATAATCATTGGAAAAGATTTAGTCACTTGAATATATCACTTTCACCCCTTTAGGACGAGTCTAAAACTTTTTGCAATTCACTAATAACAGACTTGCACATATAGGTACTATGATTCATTAATGTATCCAAATACTTTAAGCCTTGCCATGGACATTTTAGATGACCAGGTTTGGTATCTATTAAATATCTTCTTTTTTTTTTGTATTATTTTTATATTTTCAAGGAAGGTTACGTTTCATTGTATTTTTCACAGCTTCAAAATGAAGAGAAATCACATTTCCTAAATGCAAAGAAATATTATAACACGTACAGACACTACATTTCAGAATCTGACTTGTGTCTAATTATCTGTGTATATATGCTCTTTCAGGGTTACAATGCCTCAGCAGAGATAAAGGATGCTGACAACTTCCCCAACATCAGAGTGTTTACAGCCAATCAGATATCATCTAACAAACCCCTGTCTGACTTTGACGCAGCGAACAGCATCAAGGAGCCTTGGTCAGTCGCCTCTAGCAGTAAGTTAAACTCACATATGTATTTATGAAAAAAAAATGAAAGGAAAAGTGAAATATCTAAGTGAAACCAAACTTTTTATATTTCTAGATCTAGTGCCAGTAACACATTTGTCCTGGTCCATCAATTTGGCATACTGTGGCACATTTGTAATAACATATAGCTCAAATATTTTGTTTTGAGGTTACAATTAAATTTTAACACTATGAATTTATATTTAGGAAAAATCCTGTAGCTGTTTGATACCCTTCCAGAGAATTCTAGCTACTCCTTCCCCTGCCCCTCTTTATAAGAAGTTGACTTGACACATCCTGTCCACTAAAAAAAAAATGTAAATACTGAATAAATTACATATATACCCATGTAATGCGCCGACATTTTCATTTTTTTCATTTTTTTTTTTTAACTACAGGTGCCATTGGATCAGGGGCCTGGAAATACTTCTCCGCCGTGTGCTGGCTGTATGGTAAATACCTGTACCAGAAGCTGGGCTATCCTGTCGGCCTTGTCAACACTTGCTGGGGAGGCACACCTGTGGAGGCCTGGTCATCTCCGGATGCTCTTGCAAAGTGTGGACTGGACAATGGACCAGTTGCATCAAATGGAGGGGAACCCTCTTACAGCAGGTAAAGCAGAGATAGAGTTGGAAGGGAGGTATATCTTATACATTTAATCTTTTGTTGAACTATGTGTATATGATGTGCTTGCTGGTGATTTATCTGAATATTTTTATTAATTTCGTTTAACTTCCTGTTGGACTATTCTACAACAAACTATATATTCTACAGTATTGTTTCTATTTATTTAATATTAAAAACCATGCTAATATAATCATATTGTATGGTTTTTACATCTATACATTTTAAACAAATTTCACTTTCATTGTTTTTGATAATGTATTTGTGATAAGTTGCCTTGAAACCAATTTCTGTGTGAAACTGCTGCAACAGAAATAAACATTATAGAACTTGATTTTTTTTTTGATTTTTTTTTATATGTATACAGTATTATTTTTTTTATATTTGATTTTTTTGAAACATTTTCATTATTACAGAATAATTACAATATTAATTTTTACACTCATTTTTCATTGTTTAACCAACATTTCATACAAACTTGAAATTTCTTCTAGGATGTCTTCATTTGGAAATTACGGTGGGCCTCAGAATGCTACTATTTTGTGGAATGCAATGATTAACCCTCTCCTCAACATGACCATATATGGAGCCATCTGGTACCAAGGTGTGTAGATATACTACGTTACAACCCATTACCCATCAACATGACATATCTGTAGCTACTTGTATATATGGTATTACACATTGAGTGGACCTATTACAATAATCTATGCATGGGTTGTCAACTAATAATAATAATAATAATAATTTGAGGTTCTTATATATTGCTTTATCACAACCTATTTCGTAGGTCGTCTCAAAGTGGTTCATAAATTATTATCCGTGGTTATAGGGCCTTTGCAACCAGCCAATATCTTTCTCAACTCCCTGGGGAGCATACAGCCAGAGCTGCCATTTCGGCGCTAACAGCTAGCATTCAACAATTCTAGAACTGCCCAACCATGTACTTATTTACAGCTGAGTAAACTGGAACAAATCCTTTATCCAATTTACACTACTGAATGCATGGTCATTAAAATAGATGACAAATTCATTAAATGTTTTCATCAATTTCGCATTAAAGTTTCATAAAAAATGCATTAAATTGGACATTAAATTAAGCATTAAAATGTGGGCATGATAAAAGTCCATGAAATTCCCTTTAAATTGATGGGCTTGAAATTTAACAGCAGTTTCCAGGAATTTTCAACTGCATTAAAAATCAATTTTGCCAGCATTTGATGATAATTAAATTTGACTGAATTTTGCATTAAATATTTTATGTCCAACAATTTTAATGTAAATTTCACCTTTTAATGCCCATTAAATTCATTAAACCTTGACATGATTAAGGGTCATTTAATTTATCGAAGAAATTTATGCCAATTAAATGACTAATCATTTACTCCACCTAAAATTTAATAATCATTTAAATGTCATTAAACTCTACTTAAACTATCTTAATACACAATTAAGGGTCATTGATATGTTGAGGTATTCAATGCCAATTTGACGATCTTCATGATTTTACTCGTATGATCTCAAAACTTTGTGATTATTCAAAATGACCTTAAAATAACAATCTAAGGGTTCTTAGAATCTCACTGAATTTTATCTCCAGCAATTACTGCATTTGCCATTAGAATTATTATTATTCATATTAAAAGGTATCGAAGCGATTCTGTATACTATGACTTAATTCTACTTAATTCCATTTTAATATCTGTTTTAAGCCACTGATAGAATCCTAATAATGTCAGTGCTAATAGTTTAATAAATTGATGCAATCTGTTCATAAGCATATCACATTTTCTCCTTCCAACATGATTTCAGGTGAGAATAACGCCCGTAATCCCTCAACCTACAACTGTACCTTCCCGTCCATGATCAGTGACTGGAGAGCCAAGTTCCACTCGTCACATGGACAGAACGATCCATCCTTTCCTTTTGGATTTGTAATGGTAGGTACCATGGATGTAATGATCCATCCTTTCCTTTTGGTTTTGTGATGGTAGGTACCATGGATGTAATGATCCATCCTTTCCTTTTGGTTTTGTGATGGTAGGTACCATGGATATAATGATCCATCCTTTCTTTTTGGTTTTGTAATGGTAGGTACCATGAATAGAATGACTCAACCTTTCCTGTTGGTTTTAATTGTGCCAGTTGGCATCACCTTAAAAATGTTACGCATGAGTATACCTCTAATGAGTTCATTTATGTTGTTGCAATCTAGACTAAAATTTCAGTTGCTTTTTTCATAAATTTTGTCATTGTTCATGGTAAACAGCTTTATTTTCTAAAAGATTTTCTCTTATTGGTGAAACTTTATGTAAGTGTGAGGCATCAGTTATTATACTTTGAGCAAGCTTTCATTTCTTGGTGCTGAGCTCAAGATCAAGGTCAATGTTACTCACTTTCAGAATTAAAAATTCTTTATCATTTCTATAGCAACTTAATTGTCCAATGGTTTTCCATGAAACTTCCTTATGAGTAATTAAGGGTGATATATAGAACCTTGAGCAAGGTGAAAGCTTCTGTATTTGAAGGTCAAGGTCATAGTTGCTATACATGTATTTAGAGAAAAAAAATGTTTTATTGCTTTATTGAATGACTTATTTTCATGCAATTTTTAGACATTAGCATACCTTGGTTTGTTTGCATTTCGGGTGCTACGTACAAAGTCAAGGTCTCTTTTGATATACATGTATCTAAAATATATTTGTCATCACAGTATTTTCTGAAACGTAGAAAATTATTACATTTGATTAAAACTTCAATAGATATATATGTTTCAGAGTGCTCATGTCTTTACTGTTACCATGAGAAATTCCCCGTCTTCACTCAAGCCACTTTACCTTCTGACCGACAGATACTGGCTGTAGGTCGGTGGTTTTTCTCCGGGAACTCCGGCTTCCCTCCACCACCAAAACCTGGCACGTCCTTAAATGACCATAGCTGTTACATTGTAATAGGACTTAAATCACCAACAAACCAAACCAAACTGACCGATAATTATGAAATAACACACAAAAGTTTTGTCACATTTCTTAACAAGCATGCCAATTTATGTAAGGCACCACAGTTAAGGTCAAATACTAATTCTACCGAAATCTTAGTTATCACTCAAGCAATTTTACATTCCAACCGATATCCATAGATCTCCATATAATTTGTTAGTAGGAAAATAAAATAGCTTGCATTAATTAACATACCCAGAGCAGGTAACAAATGTGGTTAAGATTCAACTCAGCTTTCTTGTAAAATGTATGTCCAGTTAAAGAAAATGATTTTCTGCATGACAAAAGAGTTCCCTGGATTATTTTATGAGTCATATGTACAAAAGTCCAAGCAATAGAATCCTTGAACTGAAAACAATCAGAAAAGATATAAATATTGCTCATTAATAAGTACAGTATAGTTTTAATTATAAAGAGACAAATGCCTATAGCTCATGATACATCCAGATAAAATTCTGACTCCCTCTGTCAGAACATCATGATATTTTTTAATCTGACAGTAGATTATCTTAAATATCCTAACCAGGTAAAAGTTTGGAAATGCAAATTGTCAATATGTCATAGCAAAATGGAGGGCACACAGCTAGCAGTTCAATTGGTCTCGGGTTTAAAAAAACCCTTGTCCTTCAAAGATTACAGAGGAGCGACACCCGGCTTCAAAGCCAGCCACTTTTACTTTAATGCAACCGAGAGATTCTTTTGATGTACATCAAAGGATCCAACTAGTCTTCATGTCTCATCAAGAAGGTGGTACACACTGAGCCTTCAAATTTTGTCATGACATATTCCAGGGGTGCAGAGAGTAAAAGTGAGCGTAATTTCTTGCATATATAGGATGACAAATTAATAGCATATATACTAGACATGGTATGTTGACATTTCAATTTTATTCCTTATCACTCTCAAGAATGTGTTTTTATGTTTTTGATTTGCAGCTAGGGGGTAACGAACCAGACATGAGTGATTTTAATGGCTTTCCTGACATCCGTTGGCATCAAACAGCAGACTTTGGTTTTGTCCCAAACAAGAAGATGGAGAACGTGTTTATGTCCAATGCAATGGATCTACCTGATTTTCTGTCTCCATATGGACCGTAAGTTAATTTATAATTTATAATTACATACGGACCGTAAGTTAATTTATAATTACATATGGACCGTAAGTTAATTTATATTTACATATGGACCGTAAGTTAATTTATAATTACATATGGGCCGTAAGTTGATTTATAATTACATGTGGGCCGTAAGTTAATTTTATAATTAAATATGGACCGTAAGTTGATTTATAATTACATATGGGCCGTAAGTTAATTTATAAGTACATATGGACTGTAAGTTGATTTATAATTACATATGGGCCGTAAGTTAATTTATAAGTACATATGGACTGTAAGTTAATTTATAATTACATATGGACCGTAAGTTAATCTATAATTACATATGGACCGTATGTTAATTCATAATTACATATGGACCGTAAGTTGATTTATAATTACATGTGGGCCGTAAGTTAATTTTATAATTAAATATGGACCGTAAGTTGATTTATAATTACATATGGGCCGTAAGTTAATTTATAATTACATATGGACTGTAAGTTAATCTATAATTATATATGGACCGTAAGTTAATTTATAATTACATATGGACCGTAAGTTGATTTATAATTACATTTGGGCCGTAAGTTGATTTTATAATTACATATGGACCATAAGATGATTTATAATTACATATGGGCCGTAAGTTAATTTATAATTACATTTGGACCGTAATTTATAATTACATGTGGACCGTAAGTTGATTTATAATTACATATGGACTGTAAATTAATTTTTAATTACATATGGACCGTAACTTAATTTATAATTACATATGGACCGTAACTTAATTTTATAATTACATATGGACCGTAAGTTGATTTATAATTACATATGGACCGTAAGTTAATTTATAATTACATATGGACCGTAATTTAATTTATAATTACATATGGACTGTAAGTTGATTTATAATTACCTATGGACCATAGGATGATATAGGGTTATTTTGATTAAGTATACTGGAGACATTGCTAAACTAAGTAAACAGTTTTTTATAACTTGCCCAAACTACGCACAAATTTAACTCTTGAATTATTATTCTTTAATTCATACATTTATCTTTTAAGTTTGATTTCATTGTTTGCATTAATGGAAAAGTCTTCATTGATACTGAAAAATTCATTTTCACACTTACTTCTTTTAAAAAAGGAAATGTTGACAAAAATAAGCAGAAACCCCGAATTAGTCAAATGTTTGATTCATATAATATTGTAAATACAGAGATCATAGTAGTAAACAAGAATTCAATGCAAATAATTTATCGACACTGTTATTTTTCTGTTAGCATCCATCCCCGGGATAAGCAGGATGTAGCGAGACGATTAGTGAATGCCAGTCTGGCTGTGGCCTACCACCACAAAGATATAGTGTACCAGGCCCCACTGCCTTCTAGTTTCAAGGTGGACACTGCAGCAAGCACTCTAGAAATTATCTACAACAACGGCTCAGAGGCCTTGCAACTCAAGAACAATGTCGGCTTTGAGGTAGGTATACAGGTTTGGCGGGTACGTCCCCCTTTTTTATGTATCCAAACTCTTCAAGACACAATGCTCTGGTTTCCTCCCACATAACCCCCCCCCCCCCCTCTCATGCTAACATCTGGGCCAACAAGAGAGATTAATATAAGTTGCAACAACTTTTTCATACTAGAAAATGGATATAATCATAACATACTCAAGCGTCACCAATAAGTCAATAAATGGGTTTTAAAGTTTATTTGTCTGACCAGTTTCGTTTCTAAAGTTGTGGCTTCATCAGGACAATTTTACAATGTTTTAGACACCTAAAGCACTTTTTTAGTGGTTCACTTTGATATTGTGATGTAATGGACAATTGTTTCATACTTGATGTAAAGTAAATGAATTTATATAAAGAAGTAATACTTTGCATTCCTTACAGATATGCTGTGCCTATGATGGTAAAGGGATGTGCAATACTCATGCATGGTGGCTACAGGCATCCATTGTTAGGACAGCGATAAGTAGCATAGTGATAACTACAGCAGCATGTAATCCTCAGGACGTTGCTGGAATCCGTTATGCCTGGAGGGTGTCGCCATGTGCATTCAAGGACTGTAGTTTGTATTCCTCCCTCAGTTCTCTGCCTGCCTCACCTTTCCAGTTCACATCTGTTGACTTTCACAAGGATGGAAGTTATTCTATAAATACTAGTATACCTTACCCCTTAGAGGGCTGACTCAGCTGTAAACGTGGGCAATCTCATCGATTTATTTCGGGTGAAGGATCAGGTTTGTTGTACAAGAATTAAGATCTGTTTATCTATTTTATACTCTTGCACTCAGTCAACCAATCTTTTAAATATGCAAACATGGAAGTTGCACTATTTACAATGATGTTCCTTACCCTTTAGTGCTTTCAGGGCACTGTAAACACGATAGATACTCTTATTGTTATTTATGTAAGTGTAATGATCAAACACTCTTAAAACTATTTTTATACTACTTAAACCATTCCATTGTTTAATATGTCAAGCTGTAGGGTTGGTTTTTTTGTGTCATTGTGTCAGATGGTCTGAAATAAGCATAGACCTATAGACATACAAAAATTGTTGGTTTGAAATATTAAGAAGAGAAACTCAGTGCTTCTTTTTATGCAATTAATCTCTAATTACATTATTTGAAAGTAGAAAACTCATTTTCTACATGGGTTGTTTCAAAGAATTTTGTAATTTCCCAGCACTCAACAAGTTTTAAATATCAACTTTTCTCCTTTGCTATGAAAACTAATTTAACTAAACACCTATTAAACAGAAAATTCTGTTGGTGTAAAATCTAAAATCTCAACTTTTTTGCCTTATGGCTTGAATCTTATATTTTCTCATTGTCACAGCAAAAACAGGTTTTCTTTAATAACTGATATTAAATGTTCTATGTTTACTGCAATTTCAAACGCCATCAGTTATCTTTACAAATTCAGTCAGCCACCATAGTTTGCACATAGATATTTTTTTCATATATATATATATATTTTTGCTATTTGTTAAACATTTACGTGTATATGTTTTATATAAGGAAGAACATACTTGGTGTCATATCTTATGTTTATTCAGTCACAAGAATAATTCACAGCAGGCAAAGGGACCAGGTTCTTGCCTAAACTTTTGTTGCATGTTGACCATGCAAACCAGCTACAGATGTTACATGTTTGATCCTTTTTATACTAGTTTTCTCTCCCATATGATCTCTGGCAGATTTTGCTTCTGTACCAAGTGATGATGTTTCCATAGGCTTTAACCCTTTCGTCCCTATGTAACTTCAGTAGACTCTACCATGCATTTATCTGGATGAGTCCATTATGGTCTACAGTGGTGAAAGGGTTAAAAGCATGTCAATAAGGTTGCATAGACTTGTATGCATTTTTCCTCACCTCGTGCATGGATTGCATATCTTTCAATGGTGTTTTCGTTGTGTTTGCCATGGCATCACATCACTCAAAATGTTCATCAAGTTTGCATCTTCAAAATGCTGATCCAACTGTAAGTGGTAGCTGTCAATTAATGTGTGTAAAATTATCCTACTTCACATTTATAGCCGTGGGTGTGAATAAAGTATGTCATACAGGTGATTTCTATTGCTCATGTTAATGTTTGCTTTTTATACGCCCGTCAAAGACGGGGACGTATTATGTTATCACGTGAGCGGGCGGGCGG